CACCCCGCCCGGAACGCCACGGTCACCAGGAAACACTCCCGCTCATCAGCGCAACTAACCCCTCGTCTACTCGTCCAGCCTAGCGGACCGGGGGCCGGCGGGCGGGGCTGAGTGAATCGGTGTGGCAGGAACAATCCACTTGTCCTCCATTCCTTTCTCCGAGGGGCGAGCGCCGCACTGCCCGCCCCGCCACGCCCCGCCACGCCCCGCGTCACGGAGGGGCCAAGAGGCTGCTGCTGCCGCTGAGGAAATCCAGGCCACCTTATACTGCGATTGCAGAGGAGCAGGACATCAGGGCCCGTCCGGGTGGCGAAACGCTCCCAGGGCGCTGCCTCCCTCTCCCTCACTTTCCTCTCTCTCTCTCTCCGCTCAGAGCTGGACACGTCCCTGGGGCCTACCCGGACAGCGGACAGCCCCGCCGCCACAGCCGGGCGGCGCCGGACAGGCCGCCCCGCACCGCCACCGCCCCTCCGACACGCAATCCGAACAACTACCGTCGGCGAACAGCGCGCCACGCGGCACACAGGCAAACCACCGCGGCGCGAGAGGGCCCGAGCGCCTGGCGGGTAGGCAACGCGGCCACACGCGCGCGCGGCGGGACTGCCTATGCCGGAATCCACAGGCGCACGGCCACGGCCGGCAACGCACCACAAAAAAACCCCAACAATTTTCCATCTTTATTTAAATAAAGGTGAGGTGGAAATTCCACCACATTTTGTCATGGTTCCCACATTTTGGATCTTGGCGTTTTCCAGGACTTTTCAAGGATTCTCGGACTAAATTTTCAAAATTTACATGCTCACTTGCAAACAAATATTAGAGACTCCTGAGACTCAACTATAAAACGGTTAAAAATAATTTCAAAATTTGGGCCATACTTAAGGTGGCAGCATCACAAACTTATGTGAGTTTTCAAATTGTTTTATCAGGATTTGAAAATTAATACCTAGATGTAAAGTTTAACATCAGTTTTCACGTAGTTCTAGAAATTTGATTCTCTAGGACCGTCCAACCAAATTCCAGGACTTTCATGGACCATAATTTTTTTCCAGGACTTTCCAGGTTTTCCAGATTTGTGGGAACCATATTGATGGAATTTGAGGGGATTACGATATGTATATTATATATTTTTCGTTGAGTAGTTCCATCACAGCATGCGATAATAGCTGTAGAAATTTTTCATAAAGACTTACTCTCTGCAAAGCTTTAAAAAAACTGCATGGCGACGTAACGACGTCTTCGACCCCACTCCATATGGAGGGTGCGCAAGTGCGAGGGGTGATAGGCGTAATTTATAGACGGCGCCATAACTCGGGGGGCCGGGGCCGGCTGGGGCTGGCGACGCCGCCGATTGAGACGCATATGAAGCCAAAGGGCTTACCGGCGGGGGACTCGGTATCTCCAGGCGCCCCGTGCGCTCAATACCCTCCCCCTCGGGCACGCTAGCCCCCCCTTCCGCGGCCAACACGACGGCCAAGGGGTTGCTATAGCAATGAGACAGAAGGGGGAAGGGCGAGGGGACACGGTTTCATCTGCATCCCTCTGACCCGGAACACAACCCCCCTTACAACCCGTTTCGATCGCACACCGTTCAGGGAGAAGAAAAAGTGTCATGAAATTTGTGCCGAGCAAGGACATTGGTAGCGATGACTCACCTGTGATGGCTCGCGAGGGTGGGCGCCATGGAGGCGTCG